TAAAAATAAAAATATTAAAATAAATAAATAGAAATTTATATTATAAATAACTGTATAGAAAAAAATAATTAAATAAATATTATTAATTTTACCTAATTACTATTTAATTTAGAATTCAATAAATACTTTAATAAATCGGACATAATTTAATATTGTATAAAATAAATTAACATATTAATAAACAATACAATATAATATTATTTATACAATAATTTATTATTATTAATAAAAGCGTATAGGTGAGTATTAAAAAAATCTTTTTATTTTTTATAATATAAGTAACTTTAATAAATATAATAACAAAAATTAATTTAAAAAAAAATTAAGTTATAATTAAATATATTTAACACAAATTAATAAGTACAATTTTTTTAAATCATTTTAATAAAAAAATTAAAAGATCGAATGAAAATAAAGAAATAAAAAACAATAAACAGAAAATTATTAATGAAAAATAAAAATGTGTTATAAAAAATAGACACATAAATAAACAAATAAATGAAATTATGTGAAAAATAAACAAATATACATAATGAAGACTAATAAATTAAATTAAATAAAAGAAATAAAACATATTAAAACATATTTAAATTGATAAACTAAAATAAAAAAAATTAAATACCAAAATTTAAATAATGTAAATAAGTAAGAAAAAAGTAAGATAAAAAAAATAAAAATTAATAATATCCAAATAAATAAATATATAATTATAATTAAAAATATAATAATAAATAAATAAAACTTAACTATATAATAATATATAAATCAATAAATAAAACTTAACTATATAATTATGGAAAACGTTATTTTTTATTTTAATTTGATTTTAAAGTTTACTGTAGAGTTTACTGTTTACTGTACTTCATACCCAGTTTAAGTCATAAACCAAAGATTTGTTCAAAAATTTACAGTCAATATACAGTACTACAGGTACTTGATCACACAGGTACTTGAGTTTTTTGTTCCCCAATTAAATTATGTTTCAAGAATATTGTATAACTCACTGTGTAGCAAGAGCGATATAATCATGTTATAGTAGGAACATTCAATGAATGCATAACAGCACGTAATGGTACCGTGAATGAGTTATCACGATCAAGTGATCCCCACCCCTTTGAGTTATTTTTATAAAGGTAAGCGACATTGCTGATCAGCTATATTAAACTTATATACTGTATTACTTGCTCGAAACTTGGAGTTTCAAATTGTATTTTATTCGTTACAAATCATTCTCTAAGACAAAATTAATGCCATTTATAAATATCTACAAATATTTTGAACATAACTTTGATCTATATAATTACGACTGTGAATGAAAATAGTCGATGGGCGTACATAATGCTCCTAGAGTGTTTTCCACAATTGAGTGATCTCACTTTCCTAAATTATTTTCTAGTACGGTATATAATGTAGATATTAATTGGTGATCAACCATAATGACATATGTTTCAGATTTCAGAGATTATAAGTTCCAACTGCGTTTTATTTGATTTAATCCCATATCATATTTTAACACAAATTACATTCAATTATCTATAAATATTTTGAACATAACTATACTCTTTAAAATTGGTATAGTTTCACAATCGTGTGACCTTATCGCTCCGAATTGTTTTCTATTAGGAAACTTGAAGTTGCTGTCCAGCAATTTTAGTTTCAGATTGAATTTGGTTCACGTCAGATTGAATTCATATTCAAATATTTTTATAAGATATAATTATCTATAAATTTTGCGAACATTACTATGAATGCAATTGTTTCATTTCACTTTAAAAATCAAATTCATAAAAAGATACTTTTTATATAACAATATTCAATAAATAAATAAAATTAATATACATATTTATATTACAAATAGTGTTTGTGATAAAAATGAAACAATTTAGTTTTATAAAAGATCTCCATTTCGGCGTTAAATAAAACCAACCTAATATGTCACCTCACAACAAGGAATTTAGGAGGAGAAATAAAGAAGATATATATTTCGTTTTAATTCAAAAAACTTGCTTGCACTAATAAATTCATTATTAAATTAATTAAAAAAAACTTAATAGATAATTTAATTTAATCACAAATTATAATTTAAAATGTATTTGGACAACACAAAAGAAAACAAGAATTGTAAAAGAATAATATTTTATTTTTATTTTCTCGTTCAAAATTAATTCTCCAATAAACATAAACACAGGTATGTTAAGTGTATAAATATTATTGCTTAAAATTAAAGTCAAATATTCCGAAAGGGTAATAATTTCTAGACTATTTCTATAAAAAAAATATGTATATTTCCAAAGTACTAACTACATTTATACAAACACTATTAAAATTAAAGAAGTTTGGTATCAAACATTTAAAGAACAAAGGGCAAGGGGACGAGGGTAATAAAATTTAAGGAATAGTTCAAAACTAATTACAATTGTAAAAGTAAAGTGCAAACAAAATTCAATCCGCAGCGATTGGGTTACTAAATTTTTAATAAGCATAAATTTGTAATTTTTCTCCAAAAAACCAAAAAAGAAGAAAGAAGAAACCCCCGACCCATCATCTTATGTTGCCATATCAACGAAGTGTAACTCACTTGGTACGGAACTACTTCGCACTCTTAAGGGGAAAACTTCAATAAAACAGCGAAGTGTGCACTTTATTTCATAAATTATGTTTCCTACTAATTTTGAATAAAACAGAAAGTACACAAGGAGGAACAAGGATTTATTTAGTTATCCACATCCAACAGCATTTGAATTTGATTTTAATTAACATTATTGCAACGGCACGGCAATGGTCATGACGACTTTGCCCCGCATACTTTTTGCTGTAAAATTTAAAAGGTACCGTCATGCAATGGAAATAGATATGGATTAGATTTGGTACATGAGTATGCGTTAATACTGTTACCCAGGGTAACCGAGGTGTTAAATTGATGACAAAGTGTTAGATTTTAATTAATATGTGCTATGAAGCAGTTACGTGGCTTACGTGATAAAGAAAAACTTTATGAACTTTTTCACAGTTTTCTCATTTTATTTTTTCCCTCTAAGTTTTGTTAGTACTGCCTCTCTCAGTAGCGCCGTCGTTGCGAAACCATATTCAGTCAGTATCCAGTATTGTTTTTCAATCAAAAAATTTCAGAAGCCAATTTAAATTTATACAATGATATTAAGCAGGTCGTCGACAAGGACACAAAATAATCCTTGCCTCAAAAATTAGCATCTTAATTAAAACGAAACTTTTCTGGTACTCTGCCTGTTAATACTGTTAACCCATTTTTATTTTATTACGAATTTTGACCTATTTCGGATTACCTAAAAGCAATTAAAAACTTTTCTAAGCCCACCACTTTGCTTGCAAATAAGCAATACAAATAAATAAATAAATAAATAAATGTTTAATGGAAATATATCTCGACCAGAGGAAGTTGGAAAGTTGGAAAGTTGATGTAATAAAGAAAACCAACGAAAAGTGAAGCCACAAATGGCACAACAATTACTTTGGACATTTAAATGACGAAAGTGATAACAACTTCAGCGATTAGTTAGCTTCGTCACTGCTCAGCGTAAGCCGCAACGTAGCACACTAAACACTTAAGCTGAGCAGTTTGGAATATTGGATGGGAAATGCAATCATACAGTTGTTTCCTTTCCGGTAGGTGGGGAGGAAGGTAGATTTACAAAGTGTGCTACAGATTGTTTTTTCAGTGATGGTGACGAAAGATCTAATTGTGGTTGTGACTGTGAATGCAATTTCATGTTACGAACTCCTAAAGGTGGTGGTGGTGCCGTGCGTAATTTGTTTGGTTTAACTGGTCTTTTGGGAGGCAAAGGTGGTGGTGGTGGAGAAGTTGAGGCACGACAAGATAAGGAAGTGTCACTGCTACGTCGAGAATCGAAAAATGAAGTGTTACTGTAGATAGCCTCTTCTTCTATTGTGGAATATATTTCTTCAGCAGTCTCATAGTATGAGGATGCATTAAAGGTACGCTGCAGTGATGAGGTGGATGAGTCAATTGAGAAACTGGAGGATGTGCCAATGGTGGAAGTAGAGACACCTAATGATTGTGAAGTGTTTTGATAATTGTTACTACTAATTTTCAAAAGTGAAGAAGTCGAAATGGGTTCACTAGAGTTTTCTGCAATTATTTCAGATATTGCAGGAAATTGCATTGATATGTAAGATGGAGTAATTGGTGTTGATGGCGTAACAGTTGTAGTAGCTTTTGGAACAGTTGTTGTTGTACTGTAGCTTGTCATTATGTTAGCGGAAGGTAAAACCACCTTCGGAGTTTGATTTATATTGATAGTAGGTGTATTTGGTGTTGCGGGAATATCAGGATGTTGTTGTAGCCCATTGGGTTCACTCACCAAAGCACGTTGATTTAATTGCATTTGTGTGGACTGTACTGGATTCGGCTGTGGCGCTTGTTGTTGCTGTACATAGAATGCAGTTGATGTAGGACTACTGCCGGTGAAAAACACTGGCGTTGAAGCAAGCGATGGTGATTGTGATGTGGAGGAAGAAAACTGTGTTTGTGGCAGTAACACATAACCACCTATACTAAGGAGGGGTTGTTGGGTAGTTGTATTAAAAGTATTTGTACTAGTTGATAGGATTTGTCCTGTGAGGACATGTGTAGTGTTAGGTTGTTGTGGCTGTGGTAAGTTTGTGTATTGTACAGGAAGTATTTGAGCTGTGGGAAAAATTTGTGATGGTGACGGATGGCTTATAAGTGAAAACGTTGGTGTTACTGATGAAAAATCCAATCGCTTCTGCGGGTTAGCATTTGAAATAGGGGAAGAAATAGAGGCATTATTAGTAGTTGAAGATTCGCTGTCACAAATTGAACTACTATCACATGCTACATTAGCTGAGAGAGGCAAAGTGGGTAGTGGTGGCAATGGTAAGTCAATATTATCATCTGAACTATCTAAAAATGGATTTACCGATTTATTGATGCCTGCATACGCCGGCACTGCTGGAGCATTTTCGTTGGGTACACCTAATTCTGGAACCAATGTTTTGCTACGTAATTGATTACGTAGATCATTTTCCTTCAAAAGTATGATGCGATGTTCTTCTTCAGAAACCAGTATATTATTTGGAGAGTTCTCATGTATAAATTCATGCGGACGTTTTTGAGCTGGTGGAATTTCAGGAGCTAATGGTGGCAATACTTCAAGATAGTGAGGTTCATCCGCTGTGCTTGAAGGAGAAGTTTTCTTTGGCATTGTCGAAAAATTAATTGGAGGTGGTGGCGGACTTTCACGTGGACGTAAAGGACTACGCGGTGTAGAAACTCTCATAGGTAATTTATTTGTTTGAGAAGCTGGTTGCGTGACTGGAGTTTGCGGTCTGTGAACCTCTTGTATTGTGTTTGTTGTAATATCGTGCTCAAATACAGCGAAATCACCATGTCCAACGTCGGTATTTTGAAATGTTTCCAATGCATAATTATGAACAATTTCAGCTTTTTTTAGTTTTGGTTTCGGTAATAATGGTGGTGGGATTTTAGGTTTAGTACCGGTTGAACTTGCAACTAGATTTCCAGTAGACATTGATTGAGCATTAGAAAACATTGTAGGAGAAGAACGGGTATTATTTATCGAACGATTGTTTGACAAAAGATCTTCATTTGATTTTGAACCCGAACCAAAGAAAAACTGCTCACGTGGTGACTTTAAGGCAACTGGCGATTTTGATATTGCTTTTGCTATTTCAGTATATTCATCAGTTTTACTCTTGTCTAAATAAGCTTCACGGAAGGGATTATCTCTTTCAATTTCAGTAGATACTAACACTTTTTCGGGTGGTGGTGGCGGACTTCTATAACCTTTATTTGAAATATTTGGTGATGGTGAACGCATTGCATGTTGAAGTACGGGCGAATCAATTTCTTTTATTCGAGCTACTGTGGGAGTAATAGTTGTTGGTTTCATTGGACGGTTCGATCTTTCTAATGTTGAATTATTAGAAGAGGACGGACTCGAAGATCTCAAAATACCCTTACGCGGATAGCGAGTACGAGCGGTATTGTATTCTTGTTCTGAGTCATAAAACCGATTATAACTTTCTGGTGTACGTGAACTTTCGTAATCTGATTTTGATCTTTCATCACCGCTTAAATCAAAGCTAACAGATTTTCGATGACCCCCATAGGATGTTGAAGATAAGTCAGGTGAACTGCATTGCTTACCATAACTAGGTCTGTACGTTTTATAATCACTTTCAGAATCACTTGTATAACGTGGCATAGAACGTGCTTTCTCATAGAAATCGGAGTCAGTATCTATTTGATCTGGTGTATTAGATGTTAGTATGTTCGATTCTTGCTCAGATTGATTCTCATAAGCATCTACATCATCGTTATTATCAATATTATTGTCTACATCGTCATCATCATCGTCATCGTCGTCGTCATCGTCATCGTCATCATCAATTATATATACAGCTTCAGCTTTTGTGGCCTTTTGTTTTAAATCTTCAAGAGCGGCATCTTTCAATATACGTTGATTTTGCACCATTTTTTTATATTCAAAGCGTGGATCATCTTTTCGATTCTGATAAGTTGCATCAAAATTTTTTAAATTTTACAATATTTTAGCAAAAATTATTTATTGTTATTCTAAAAATTGTGCTATTAGCTCAACAGAAACAAAAGATTTTTTTCACAAACATATACAATAATTAGACTAAATGCGTTCAGATTTGCATATATTTGTGTGCTGAGACTTTATGGAGTTGTTGTGTGAGACCAATATTTTTGTGCATCTATGTAAGTGGGTTAATGTCTTGGAAACATTGTTAAAGCACAGATGAATGCTTTAATGCCAGTGAATTTTAAATGTGCAAAAATGAGTCGAAACAACACAAACTTGATAATGAAACAGTAAAATGTTCTGATATTTTTTGTACGTAAACCAATTCCACTTACCAATCTTAAAACACTTAAAATAAAATTATAAAACAGTAACAAAAGGATTTTATTTAATTTGATTTGATTTGTCAAATTTTTTAAGTGAAAATAGAAAAGCTGAAGCCAAAACAATAACAAATTAAGCAAACGATTCACAAATATGCAATTTACCTAAGAACATTTACTAATAGAACTCAGATAAACTGTCGTATCTTTACTCAAAATGAATTCTTAAATGAAATCACTTTAAAACAAAAGACTTTTATTGTTTTAATATTTAATAAATTTACAAAACAATTTCTTTTTACATCTGATGTCGGAAATTGAAATGATAAAAAAAAATTACATTAAGTTAACTTGACAAACAGTTTACGTTAGTTTATCATATAATAAATTCCAAATTTATTTATTTTTTTTTTTTTGTAATAGTAAATTTATACCAACAATAAAAACATTTAAATTTTTTTTTTAAATATTAACAATCAATTTTTTTTTTATTATTTATACAATATTGGACCATAAATATTTATTTATTTATTTTTTTTAACAATTAACGAAAATTTTTAAAGGAAATATTTTCCCAATAAAATTCGTGCTGTTACATTATAGGAAGGATTTTTTATTGTTTTCATTACTAATAAATTTTTAATTTGCCTATATATGTACATATATACACCAACAACAATTTAATTGAGATAATTTTGTTTAAGACTCAAGATATGCAATTGAAAACTTTAAAAGGTGCTTGTTGAATTTTTCATATTTTTTATCATCATTATTACAAGTTTTTTTTTTCTCTTTTTGGAAATTTAAAAAGGATAAGAATTCTTTTTTATATTAATAAAAAATCATAATCAAAAGAAAGCTATTCATCTATTTGTTAGGAACTATATAGTTTCCATAGTACTTTAAAATAATTAAAAAAAAATATATATAATACCATTTGAAATTTCACAAATTTCAAAAAATTAATATTTCGCATTTTATAAGATTATAAAAGGATCCATTTAACTATATCAATAGAAACCTACTTTATCAGGATATATGAAAACATCGCTTATTTAAGTATCAATATTTGAGATATATATTTTACTGTAGAAGTTTCTTAAAATATTTAAATTAGGGATAGTAATTAATAGTTGCATTTTGTTATTAATCATATTATCAAATAATTTTTGAAACCATTGAAATATTTATGACACTCAGGGCATATGTAAGTATATTGCAATAGTACTGAGTCAAACGGATATGAGTTCCGTTCTACTTATATATATTTGTATATATAAATGCATATAGTGATTTAATATCTTGTATAGTATAAAATATTTATTGTATGAGAGAAGGAAACAACACTTTGTACACATAATACAGTTTTCTAATTAAATAGAAAATTTACTTGACACTCAACAACAAATTTTAACAAAAGAAAATTTTTGTTATATTTTAAGTCACATTTACATATAATTATTTTTTTTTTTTTTATTTAATAAGTTTAAGCTTCAAGAAAAGGAAAAATATTTCCTCCGTTAAACTAAGTATTCATCAGTCTTATAGTTAAAAACATCCGCTTGTTAAGCAAGACTTTGATCAGAGTTCTGCAATGAAATCGGCATAAAGAGAAGAACAAAAAGAAAGAATCGAAAAAGGAAGAGAATTGTTATATTAAATAAAAAATCATAGTTTTTTTTAAATTTAGAAAATTATTTTAATTTTATGTATGCAAAATTTGTTAAAGTACACATCAAAACGACAGCCAATTAAGTAATTATCGATTTAAAATTTAAAAAAATTGAGGAAAATTGTAAATTCATACTCGGAAAAAATACACAGAGATATATATAGAGAATAAAATTAAATTTTTAGTTTAACAGGAATCAGTTAAATACATAAGTATATATACTAAGCGAAGGATTATATAAAATTTTCATGCTTACACATATAAATTAATAGAATAAAATTAAAATAGAAATAGTTATTAACAATTTTAATTTGAATTGTCTAAAATATGATTATTACTTTAAACTTAATAGTTTTATATCTTAATACTTAATGTATGCTTTGCAATTGATTAATATGTAAGGAATTGTTTACATATTTGTCATTTTTATTTAATACTCTGCCACTTATTTATTTTATAATAATAAAATTAAAAAAAATAAATTAACACAATAAATTAAAAAATAAATACAAAATATATTAAAAATATATTAAAAAATAAATAAAAATAAATTAAAAATAAAGAAAAAAAAAATAAAAATAAATTAAAAATATATAAT